CACGACGCTGCAGCCGCCCGCAGGCCAACGCCAGCAGTCCCAGCGGCCCAGCACAACGGACCAAGGAAGCGATGCGTCCCAAGAGCAAACAAGACGCACAGGGTCCTGCTCTGAGCTGGCTGGACACTGCGCTCACACGGGGTCTCAGCTGCCATTAAGGATCTTCAGTAAAGGAACGCGAAGCGTGAAACTCAGGGGAAAGGGAGCTCTCAGCAGAGACACGGGAATAGCAAGAAGCAATCGGGTGGAAGCTGCGCCCAAACCCTCTGGCTCTACCAGGTTCCGGGGGGCCGTGCGGGGGCAGCAAGTGTCCCACAAAGCACCTCGTGTGCAGAACGACATGGAGACGTGACCGCAAACAGCAGGGGCTGCAATCAGCCCGAACGGCCCGCAAGAACGGGAAAGGCGCTGCCCTGATGTGGCAGCCGAGCTGCTCTGTCCCCGCGGAGGGCGAGGGGAGGGCCACACGCGCACACCCCTCTTCTCCGGGAGGGACAGGAGGTGAGGCACTTGGAGACACCTTTTCCGGTTCTATAGTTAGTTACCTGTAAGGTGGGAGCAAGAAACCAAACACAGACAACAGGACAGGGCAAGACTCTCTGAGCATCCATTTTTTAAATAATTTTTACTTTCAAAGCATGTCAATATTTTAATAATCAAAAACGAAAATGTTCAATCCCAGATACTAAAACCGAGCAGAACAAAGGCAGGTAACTGCAGAGCGAGCTGGGAGTGGAGCGGAGACGGCCCCGTGCGCCCCGCACGTTCCCCTGGGCCACGTGCTCGGCGGACGGCACGGCCACGCTGGCGGTGGCACGAGTGACGCGGTTTTGAAATCAATGTTGCTAGGAGCCGAGATTTTCACTGTAAGAGATTTGAGTATAAAATCAAAGGAGTTGGGCAAAAACTCTGCAATGTTACCTTTCAATTAGAAACATTAACATGGATGTATTTTTAAAATCCGTTTATTCTGGAGTTACGACCTCTGAAAAATGGGTGCGGGGCTGGGGGCGCCCAAGGGTAACGAGCACCGTATCCTGCTTTGGGTCCCGGAAGTCACCCCAGCACCAGAAACTGGGACTTCCTGAGAAAGGAAGGGCCGCCGTGCAGGGAGCTGGTCCACATGCGCAAGCACGGAGCACCAGCTAACCCCAGCCTCTCTCGTGTGACCCCGCCCCTGGATCTGAGACAGCCCGTGACGGCTTCTCACCAGCAGTGTGGCGAAGGCCATGGTGTCACTCTTGTGATCATGTCACATTGTGTGAGGCTCCAACACACAGATTCCCCTGCTGGCCATTAAGAAGTGCACTGCTGTGCCGGGGGCCATGGGCAAGGAACTGCGGTGCCCCAAGCTAGCCAGTGACAAAGCGGGACCTCAGTCCCGCAGCCAAGAATTGAGTTCTGACAACCACCGTGTAAAGCTGAGGCCCCTTGAGGTCCAAAGTCCAGAAGGACATAGTTCCACAGCGCCTGCACGACCTGGGAGACTCTGAGCAGAGGACCCGGCTGAGCTCACCGACCGAGGCCAAGGCGGGCTGTCTGAATGCACGAGGCTCGCGGCCACTCGCCCTGCAGGAGCTGCACTGACGCAGGGGCCGTTCGTGCAAACAGAGAGCTGTGCCCATCGGAGGGCGCGGCGCTGTCTGGAAGCTGCGCCTCCACCGGCCGACTTTGAAAAGATTCACGAGCGTGCTCAGCGACGTGGAAGCAGGACACTGCTCTGGGGCTCCTGGAAAGCTTATGCCGGACTTCCCAGACAGGGAATGAACGCCCGCCCTGGTGACAGCGAGGCAAGGACAAGCAGCAGAGGTACACAGATAGAAAGAAAAGGTGAAGCTGTCCCGACTCACGCAACACTATGATGCATGCAGAAGACTCTAAGGCATCTTCAGAAGAGGTCCCAGTTGATAAGAGCATTTGGCGAGGTCAGCACCCAAACCCTGAATACTCCCAAGAGCCGATGGCACCGAGAAGCCACCCTGTCCACAGCAGCACCGCGGGCAGGAACCACTCGGGACAGTGGGGCCGTGCGCAGGCGCTGCGCGCCGGAAGCTGCAGGGCTCCGTGGACCCGGCTCAGGGGCCCCGAGCCCTGGACAGAGACGCCAGGACCAAGGGAAGATGTGACCCATGCAGATGCCAACACCCTGAGCCAATCAGCAGGACTGGCCCTGTCCTCATCAGACCTTAGCAGCGGCCTGGCTCTGAGCCCTTTGGCACATTGGTTCTAAACGTACGTGCAAATGCAGGCGGCACAGAAGAGTTGAGAGGGTTTAGAAAGAGCTTAGTGTGAAGACAATGCCGCGGGGCTTCAGGGTTTACCTAAACCGACGGCAATCGGGTGGATGGACGCAGGTCCGCGGGTCGGCAAACGGGAGGAGCGTGGCACTGCCAGACGCAGGCCGCCCCCGCCCCTGCGAGCAGAAGCTCGCTGGGCCAGCGCAAGCCGGGGCTGGAGTGAGTGTGCTCTTGCGGACACACGCCCCCATCGCCTCACCCACAGGCGTGCAGGCAGGGCGGGCCGGGCTCTGAGAGAGAGAGAGCTTCACGGGCCCGCAGCAGCAAAGGTCCCTTCTGCCACAGAGCAGCAACCAGTAAAAGCACGTCTGCTCTGCGACGGACATGCTCAGGGGGTGAGGAGGCCGCGTGCACGTCCGACCAGGAATCGGGACCAGTGCTTGTGGCTCAGTGGGGACAAGCAGCCCAACTACCTGACGGGCAAGGAGTTTTTTCCTCCAGAAAAGCCTGTGAGGGCCGCTCGTGCCGGTCACGTAGTGCTACACCCTCCTTGCTGTGACGCTAACGCCAAGTGTCCATCCTTTAAATATTACATACACACGCCCCGGATGGCAGTCCTACTCCCAGAAGTGGTGCAAGAGAAATCAAGGCTCATGCCACGATGAGCAAGACTGCGCGAGTTCCCAGCAGGTCCTTGCGTGGTCACAGGAGCTGAAAGCATGCAGGCCCCGCACACGCCGGGGCGAACCCGCACGGCCACCGGCCACAGACACTCAGCCCGCCAGGCAGATCACAGCAGACACAGAGAGGAGCACACGCCTGACTCCACCAAAGGAAACGTCAACACAGGTAAAACTCACCTGCGAGACAGAGCAGCTCTGTGGTCGACAGGGCACAGGGAGTTCAGGGTGACGGAAATGTCCCATAGCGTGCCTATGGCACTGATCACACTGCTGTGTGCATTTATCAAAACTAAGACCACGCAGTGTATAAATTAATCGTAATAGAGTTGATCCGAAAGAAAAAAAAATAGCAAGAATGTATCAAAAAAAACTTCAACAGAGGGAAATCACAAACCATTCTTGGGGGTGACTAAAGGCTTAGGCAAGGACAGACACACCGAGCCTATGAACCAGAGGAGGAGGTGCGAGACCCCTGACCTCGCCAGGTTTGCGGGTTCCATGCCGCCCCCCGAACCCTACAGGAGTTTATAGAAGTCGTCAGGTCGACCTTAAGACTCACTTCCGGAAACTGCAAAGGACCAAGAGACACAAGGCACTCGTGACAGCCCAGGACAGACAGCACCATGGACACCGGAGCTATGGCCACAGCTGCACGGCCGAGTAGTGGGGAAAGGCACCCTTGTCAACGTGGGGACGAGCAAAGCAGAAGAACGTGGCGGTGCAGTGTGGCCTCTACCAAACGGCCAGTGCGCATCTGTGACCGCAGGTTTGAGAAAGCCTCGCGGAGGACGTCACAGAAACCCAGTGGATCCAAGGGAAGACTGGGACGCCCGACTACAACCAAAGTGACCACCTCTGCTGACGGAAGACGCCGCGAGAAGCAGACAAGCTGCACACGGGCAGCACGTGCACAGCCTGGGGCACAGGGATGGCGCTCGGCCGGAACACAAAGACTGCGCCCCCGCGGGAAATCGCTGGCACACGCAGCGGAGCCCGAGCAGCAGCGCACGCGCACACGGGGGCCCGGGACACCCTGGGCAAGGTCTGGCCAGCTGTCCTGGGTGGAAAGCTTGTGTCCCACACAGAGATCCCTTAGCAGGTAACAGGGGCAGGGCCGGGGGAAGGCACCGCCTGGCTTTGCCCCAGCCACAGGGTAACCACAGATGGGCAGATGGCTGCGGCTGCAGAGGAAAGCACCTCATTTCCCCACCTGCACCCCACCCTTGCTCCCACGGGCATGGACGGGCATCCCAGGAAGCTCTGAGACAGGCGTTCTGTGAACACAGGAGCAACCTTGCAAGCCAGGGTCTGGGAGCGGTGGTGTGACGGTCTGGGACATGCCCCCGGAGACCAGGGTGCTGGACTGGACAGAAGCCAGGTGCTACTCTGCACACGGCCCCCCGGACTCTGGCCCACAAGGCGCCAGAGTGACACACGTGCTGCTCCAGCTTGATGTGAGGCAAGCCACGTGCTGCACAGGCCGAGGGACCTCCAGGTCAGGGTCTCATCTGAGGACGCCACAGAAGGGAGGCCAGCTCCGGCCGGGGAGATGCTACACGGACAGGCCGCTTTGCGGGCGCCGGCCCCAGAAGACACGCCATGGGCGCGGTCACCATCAGCTCTGCGCAGAAGCCCGACCCCTGGGGCACATCACCTTGTTGTCCAGGTCAAAGAGGTAGGAGTCCTCCTCCCGGACGTCAGCCTCGGAGTCGGAGATGAGCTCGCCGACGTACCTGTGGGGACGAGGGGCAACTGTGTCACTCTGTGTGGCCGCAGCCCACAGAGCTCTGCCTGCGCCTGTGCTGGGGCTAATGCTGGGTCCTGGAGGACGATGACACGGAAGCCCCATCTGCCCAGGGGCCAGCGTTTGGGAGTCTGTGGCAGGTCCGGGTGCCACACCAGCGGCACACACTCCCGGCGCCCCAGCCCGCACTGTAGCATCCTCCTGGGGACAGATGCCGCTGCCAGGGGACCGGGCGCCCACTCACTCGCAGACGAAGGTGCCCGCGGGGATGTCCTGCAGGGTCCGCACGCCCCAGCCCATGCTCTGCGTCCGGTACAGCTGCAGCCTCGCCCTGCAAGACAGCAGCACTCAGGGCCGTCGCACGCTCCACACACGACCCGAGAGACAGCACGGCCCTCCCCTCCTGAGACACCTCAGAACCTCGCTCTAGGGCAGAGCTGGGAGGGGCCGAGGGGGCGCCAAGGCTCAGCTGCCGCGCCTTTACCCCTCGAGAAGCTAGGAGACCCAGAAGTCAAACTGTCAGCACATGGAATATGGCCCCCGGCCCTTCGCTGGGCCTCAATTTCCCCATCTGTGACAAAGGGACAAGTCTGGACTAAGCCACTGTATTACAGTGAGGCCCAAAGGGACTGAGGCTTCTATTGACCCAGGCTGTGATACAGGTCAGCTCGGGCAGCAGGTCAGCACAGGGGCAGAGCCGGCCTCTCAGAGGCAGTGGGGGTATGTCCTGGTCCCAAGAGCCCACGTAGGTGTCTGTCCTCACCCCCGAAAGGACTTTCCACCACACACGAGGGCAGAGAAGCATTAGCTGGTCACAAGTGCATTAAGATTAATAATATTGAGAAACCCCCAACACCATGAATTTTCGTGCTCGGCTCAACTCATACTGCACAGAAATTGTCCCTTGACCTCAGAAGGACTCCAGATCTTCCAACTCTCAGGCACACTCAGGAGGGCAGGTCTGTGACCAAAAGCCAGGGTCTGGTTCTGGGCGGTCGGGGGCACTGGAGGAAGGGGTGTGAGCCTGGCTGGAGACCGAGGTGATGGCCAGGCCTTCCTGGACCAAGCACCCCAAGTGACTTAGGGACAAGGAGTCCACGCAGTTCTAAAGACTTTTAGGCCTGAACCCCATCACAGCACGGCCCCCGGAGAAACTCAGGGAGAACAGAGTACTCGGGAAAAGACCTCAGTGAGGGAACAGAACCGAACTGGCCCTCGGAGCTGCGCGTGTGAACGTGGCGACGGCCGTTCCTGCATCCAGCCCCCTTTCTCTGCCTTCGGCTCATCTGACCGAGACAGTCTGTCCTCCCTGGCCTCAGGTCCAAGGCTGAGCTGCAGGGAAGCGCCCCTCTCAAAAGCTCCACTGCTCAGAACTTGTAAAGCAGAGCCCAGAGGCCTCCCACGGGGTCCCGGGCACCGCGGCACCCACCGCAGGCCGTTCTGCACGACGCGGTTCCGGCAGCTCCTCCAGCAGGAGCAGGCGTGGTTGCACTCGAAGAGCAAGGGCGGCTCCGCCATGTTGAACTCGGGCAGCAGCCGGCCATCCTGGGGACAGATGGCAGTCAGGGCCGAGCACGGCTCCCCGCGACAGCCCTCACGAACGAGAAGACTGATGTGGGAGCGATGGTTCCCAAGCCTGCTTTACCCCGGGGCGACGCTGGACTTCCCCAGAAGCTCCAATGGGCTGTGCCTGTTTAGGAACCTGGACAACAGCTAAGGCCACCCTCAGCCACTTGGCTCTCAGCCCTGCTGCCCTGCAAGTCCCCAGCCACCTGCTCTCCTGTCCTACAGCCCGACGCGACGAAGACACCCGGCGACGGCCAGGGCATGTGGTCTGAGTCTGAGGCTCCGGGGGCTTCAGGGATAGCTCTGACAGTGAGAACTTTCCTCGGAACACCCAGGCTCGCCCACCTCTGAGCAGGGCCTGGCCTCCCAGAGAACACTACCAGACGCCGGCCCCGCCCTCCGAGGCCACAGAACCTGACCCCATGCCTGTGCCCCTCTCCCTCTAAAGCTGACGCCAGAAAGAAATCTGCCTGTGGCCTCTGCTCACGGCCTGTTTGCCCTGCCCCACCAGTGACCGCTGACCTCCCCCGACCAAGGACGTTTATGGTTCTGATCCTGGACACTGGTCTCTGGAGCCCTCCTCTCCTGTTGCCTCATCTGCTAGGCTCGTCCACGGCAGCCTCTGCTGCTCTCAGGCCCGTGGGCACTCCCACCACCTCCAGGTGGCCACAAAGGACCGCTGGCTCCATCCCCACAACCCTGCCTCTGTCCAGCCTCCCATCTCCCCCACCTGGCCTCCACGCGGGCTCAGCGGGGACGGGGCGGGCTGCGGTGTGCTCACCTGGTCGTACCAGCAGCGCAGGCTGAGCTGGCCACACATGCAGTTGCTGGAGGAGCAGTCGTCGATGCACACGCAGTACTGCGAGGGGACGGGCGTCAGACGGGCACGGCCCCGCTCCCGCCCAGCACCCTCAGGGTCCTCAGGGCGGCTCTTCTCGAGACGCCAGCTTTCTGAGAGCCACGCCTGCGCTCGAGAGGTGCGTGCACCTTCCCTGCTCAGCTCCCAAAGCCACCAAGGGGCGCGAAGGCAGAAGAGGCCACTGAGCACCCAGGATGCCGAGCGCCTGCAAGGGGCAGGGGTGGGCCCGGGCAGAAGGTGCTGCGGGAACCACCGCCCAGGGACGCTCAGGGAAGGCCAGGATTCCCTCACAGGGGCGCCCGGAAATGCTCTGGGCGCCTGGGGCCCGAGGCGGGATGCGGACACGCTTCTGGAAGGATCTGTGTCTGCCCACCAGCCCTCCTGAGGGAGGGAGCTCGGAGAGCACCCGTCTCCCTGGGGAAACCACGTGCCCGTGGACAAGAGCACTGACCTGCAGGTGCGTGATGTTCCTGTCGATGGCCATGGGGGACGTCACGCAGTTCTGGGACACATACTTATAGTTGCTGGGGCTCGGCTCACTGTCCACGGCGTTGACACAGGGGATAGGGATGCGCTCGTAGCCTCGAGCGATGTCTCTGCCGTGGGATGGGGAACGTTAGCTCCCCTGGGACGGGTGCTGCCCCCGCCCTGCCAGGACTGGCACAGAGCCGAGGAGACTGCCGCCCGGCCTGGGGCAGTGTTTGGACCGCCCGACGCCCCTGCACCAACGACGTGCACAGTCGCCTGGGCTCGGGCCACGGCTCACCTGCTCACCGTCTTCTCCGTCGGGACGGGCCTCTCTGGGGCCGAGTCGCGGAGCGCCTTGCTCATATGCAGGGCGCCCCACACCTGGGAGTGGAGGCTGGCGCACTGCAGGGGCGTCTCCCCCTCCTTGTTCTTCAAGTTCACATCTGAATCCCGAGAGAGAAAGAGGCTAAAAGGAAAACGTAAGCCAACAGAACATTCGGGTCTTAATGGAAAGACACGGAGACGGGGTTTACAAAGTGACTTCGAACAGTGAAAGTGCAGAGAACGCACGTCCGCTTGGGGGCTGCCGGGCTCGCTGAGCGGCGCATCCAGCAGGACTGGCCGTGAGGCGCCGGGACGTGCTCCCCTGCCCCCCACATCCGCACCCGCTCACTGGGGCTCGCCTGGCAGCGAGCGTGTACAGCACGAGAAGCGGGTTAGAATTGTGGCTACCCACCCACGTGCGCCCTCACAAACGGCCTCAGCGCTGGCAGTCAGCCCCGCCCGTGGCCGTGGACACGGCGGCGCTCCCGTGAGCTCTCTCTGCCCGGGGCTCTCGCCGCTACGACAGTTGGCTGAGCTGCTGCCGGGGCCCAAATCTGAGAGGGCGCGTGCCCCCCAACGCAGGGGCCTCGTTCACGTCCAGACTCCCCAGGCCCGCAGCCCAGGAGTGAAGTGGGATGGAGCCTCAGGGTGCAGAAGGCTCTGAGCGGCCCAAAGCCACGGCTCTCACCTCCTGCCGCTCCCGCCGGCTCCCAGAGAGGCTGTCCCCTCACCTCGCATGGGCATCAGGGCGGGACCCACCTCCACGGTCAACCTGAGTGGGCATTTCTCACAGTAACCACCCCCCAACCAGAGAGGCCCATGCTGACCCCAGACGCACGACAGGTAGGTCCTGTCTGCCTACAGAACAGACCCAGCACTGGAGCCCACCCGGCAGCCTGCAGGGACCCGTGGCATGGCCACTCACGCGACACAGGCGTAGCGGTCCTCACGGGCGGCGATGTGCAGGGGCGAGTCCCCGTGGACGTTCACGGCGTGCAGGTCGCACCTGGCGGCCAGCAGGATCTCGGCTATGTCCACGCAGCCCGAGAAGGCGGCCCAGTGCAGGCAAATGTTCTCCTCCTGGAGGGCGACACTGCCCGTCTGAGCATGCGCTCCCCCTCCCTTCCGCCGTCACTGCGAACAGCCCTGAGCTGGAGCGCCCCAAACACAGCGCAACGCCTCGAGGAACCTCGTCTGTGTTTAGATTGTGCTCACTCTGGGAAAGAGCGGATATTTGCAGGACAGGGTGACACTCGTGTGGATTTGAAAAAGAGGCACATTTGATTAAAGTTTGACTTCATATGAGCCTTTAAGACAAAAATTCTATTTTTAGTTTTTTCATAGGCGAGGCAACCCTTGGTTGACCTCTCAGATTGCAAAGACCTTGTCTGCTTACAATCCCTTATTTTTTTTATTAGTTACACCTACAGTGCCTGGTCTTCCTCGGTGGCCTCCCACCCAAGTACTAACCAGGCCCGACCCTGCTTAGCTTCAGAGATCAGACGGGATCGGGCTTGTTCAGGGTAGCATGGCCATACGCGACAAAAATTTTAAATAAAAGGAGACTCGGAAAAATACCTGTTATAAATAAAATACACGTGATTTACAATCAGCAAAATAAGTTTACTAGGATGCTATAATTCTGCAAAAATAAATGTGCTAAGGATAAAAATCAAAAACTAAAGTGAGACTAAAGGCGAAGAACACACAAGAGACCAGCACTTCTCGTGCTACCATGACGTGGCAGCGCGGGCCGCCCTGGCACTGCCCCCCGCCCCACCCCGATGTGGGCTGAGCGCTGGGGGCACTCGGCCCCGTGGGTAAGCGAGGCGGCCAGCCCGCAGCGAGCTCACGACTGTCAGCGTCCCTTCCCCGGAACAGGGTGCTGGCTTAGCACTGTCCTTTCTCTGAAAAATCTCCAGGCTTAGCCCTCGGGGAAGGGCGCCCGGTCAGAGGTACAAACATTTCACTGCCCAGAAGTACTTTCTGCTCCACTGGCCAACTGTGTGGACTCTCGGGGGCACCAGCATGTTCGGAGGCGCCATGACACAAGTCCACCTGACCATCCCCGAGATCGCTGGCCCTGGCCCTCTCCCACAGGGCCCCTCTGCGACAGTCCGACTCAGACACCTGCCCCCAATCTCCACCCACGCAGCACCCCCAGCTCGGTGAGCGCAGAGAAAGGCAAAGCAGACGTGGGTGCCTGGCTCTGTGTCCCATCGTCCCCGCACGGGTCCCCATTCACACAGCACAGAGCTTCTGGAAGCCCAGACTCGTGGACTCCCTCTCCCGGACAGACATCACTTAGAAGCCTGCCTGCCCTTCCTTCTGGCCTCCCCCTGGCCCTTGTGCGTGAGCTCCTGAGCAAAAGGCCCGCCCCCCTGGCCAGCAGAATGGCGTGTTCTTCTACAACCAGGGTGACAGCGCCGGGACCCCACCCCTGGGCTCATCCCAGCATGGGGTAGGCAGCCCCCCACCCTTCTCAGGCCCACCTGCCCCCTGACGACAAGACAGGCTTGGCCTACAGGCCAGCGAGGGTGGGGTGAGACGGACCTGACGGGTACACCCCATCCAACAGACCAGCGAGCACGACGAAGAGCCTGCGTGTGTGAAGTGGCAGCCTTCATTCACGACGCTAGATGCGGGGCACTGGAGGGCTGCACCCCTGAGGGAGGAAGAAGGCGGCATGCGCCCACCGCTCGCTGCCCCTGGAGCACCACGCCTTGGCAGGGAAGGGGCCAGGAGCGGCCGAGACTGGGAGCCGAGGGCTGCGGCCAAGGAACCTGGGGGTGGGGCTGGGAACGCAGCCTAGACACGTCTGCGCAGTCCCCCTGTATGTCCGGGGACACACAGAAGGGATGACCAGGCCCAGGCCGAGACCTGCGTGGACTGACTGAACAGATCTGGAAAGAAAACACGAAGTGACCGGACCGACTCCAAGTATCTGTGCTGCGCCCAGGACAAGGCTTGAGACCGCTCCGGGAATGCGGGGATCCCCACGAAGTCAAACCCCCCGCACCCAGAGTCCACCTCGGGACCTGGCACGCCGAGGAGCAGGACGCATGGCACATGAGGTTTTGAGCAATCAAAACCCAGAATGACACAGGTCTCAGATCAGCAAACAAGGTCATCAAGGCAGCTGGTACTGCTGCGTTCCACACGCTCGACTCAGAGAACGTTTCTGAAAATACTAGGAAGACCCGAACAGAACCCTTAGATCTAAAAACTACAACGTCCGGCATGTAAATACACCGATGGGATTAAGTGTAACAGACGTTGGAAAAAAAAAAAAAAAAAAAAACTAGCGAGCTTGAAGACACAGCAACAAAAGCAGCCGAACTGAAGTCCAGTGAGAAAATCGTTCCACAAAAACGAGGCGCTGTGCTGAGCTGAGCAACAGCCTCAAGCCTCCTGACAGACGTGGCGCTGGGGCCTTGCGAAGCGGGTTGGGCAGAAGGCGGGCCAGAGGACGAGATGACCAAGAGTTTTCAAATCTGACAAAACCCTCAAAGCCACAGATCCAAGAGGCTCCATGAACCCTCGGTGCACTTGCAGGTGTGCACACACACCACCAGGCACGTCCAAACCAAACCAGTGACATCTAGTGACACAGAGGCAAACCTAAGGGCAGCTGAAAGGGAAAAGCTATGTCATACACAGACACAGGATGAGGGTGCCGCCAGATGTTCTCGTTGGAAACCTTTCACACGAGGACTTGAGGAGCAGGCTGTTTGTAGTATTGAAAAAAAAACTGTCAATCTAGAATTCTACAGCCAGCAAAACACCTTTTGCAGAAAGGGCTTTGCAAGCATCGAGAAGCTGCAAGAATTCACCGCGGGCCGACCAACGCTGCAGGAGATGCTAGGGCGTCAGGCAGAAGCAGCAAGCCCGTGCCATTTACCACTACGACCTTCGCAAAACAGCACTGTTTAAAGCGAAAATCAATGCGCTGTGGCGTGTAGAACACACGTGTGAGCAAACGTCTGAGCACGCCAGCACACACTTCGGAGGGGAGGATGGAGGCCGAGTGCCGTAAGGTTCTTCCGCCGTACGCAATTTCGAGACCTGGCACAACGCTGCCCTGAGCTGGGCGGCAGGGTGCTGGCACACAGACAGACACACGGCACCCATGACACAGGAGGCAGAGCCTCGGACCGGCCCCCACACAGGGACGGCTGACTGCCCCCACGGCACAAGGCCAGTTCTATGGCCGAAGGTGGCTTTCCAAACAAATGGTGCTGTAACAGCTGGACAGCCACAGGAGAGAAAGGACCAGAACATATGCAGAGCTGCGACCCACACCTCGTGGCCCGTGCCCGTGTTGACGCCTAAGCTGCACAGAACGCGGGAGAAAGACTTCAGGGCCTTGGGGACCCTTCAGCGCTCAGCCCCTCAGCCCTGGCCCTGCGTCCCGCCCTGGTGCTGGTGACCCACGGTGGCAGGGACACTCACGTTGTCTCGGATGTTGATGTCTGACCCCTTGGATAGCAGCAGCTTCACCAGGTCCACGTGCTTGTACTCAGTAGCCCAAATCATGGGTGTCCAACCGCCGTCATCCTAATTTCAAAAGAAGCAAAACTCCATCGCAACTCCCACAGGCCAGTGGCGTGAAGCACAAGCTCCCTCGGGCCCGCGGGGCGGCAGGCGGTGGGGGCCAGGCCCAGTCTTGTGCGCCGATGAGGAGACGGAGGCTCAGAGCGCTGCCCCAGGTACCTCGGCGAGGGCGGGGCGGAGCCAGGACTGGCCCACACGGACCCACGAACCTCTGAGCTACGGGAGACGACAGGCCACAGGCCGACCCAGGCTCTCTCCACCCTGCCGGGCAGGCACTGCCGACACATGTGCTATACACGTGTGAGTCTGCCTGACGGCATCAGGTGAGAAAAGGACCCAGAACCAGGCCCGCCCCTCGGAGACCCGCAGTCTGGCTGGTGCGAGCACCAGCAGGGACGGTGTCCACTGACCCTTCTGGCCCCAGTGACACGGACTCCAAGCACGAAGCAAAAGCATGAGCCAAAAACTGCAGGAAAACGGACAGACATCCAGCCAGCAGTTAACGGAGGCCGTGCAAAGCTCAGGTCTTCTGGAAGGCAGGGAGCAGAGGCCGCCCGGGCTGACTCGCTTTGTGGGCCGATAGTGGCGCTGTTCGGCCGGTGTCCTAACTCCACAGCCAGGCCCCCGCCCTTCCTCCGGGGCCCTCACGGGAGGTTTGCGTAAACCAGAAAGAAACAGCCCCTGGGGCACAAGGATCGCTGGCAGTTCTCAGTCTACAAGCAGAGGCTCACTACCCCCAAAACCTCGAACGCAGCTTCCTGGTGGACACAGCCTCCACCACAAAGCGAGACTGTCCCCGCAGGCTGACTGGGGGCACAGCCCAGGCACTGAAGACACAGCAGGGACGACACAGGCCTGCCTCGTGGAGCCAGCCCAGCCCAGCCCAGGGGGAGCAGCTCACAAAACCCAAACAAACGAGAAATGAAAGCGGAAAGAGGGAGGGGTGGAGCCTTCGGCTCCGTACGAGCAGAGGCGACAGGAGCCACGCCACATGTGCCCGAATGCTGCGCTGCATGGGAGCTGGCGTGGTGGCCACGAGCGCGAGAAAGGGTCGGGCAGAGCAGTGACAAAGCTGGTCGGGGGGACTGGGAAGGAGGCGTCCTCGTTTGCTCTCCCCAGCCGCTCACTTGCTCAGCAGACGCACACAGCCCTCCTCGCCACCAGCCACTACCAGCCACCAAGTGCCGCACAAAGGGGCCCTGGCAGCAG